TTGATCGAAATACACACAAAATGAAACTTTGAATGGCAAGTCCATCGTAAGTCCTTCCGGCTCGAAGTTGTGGGTATGCCTGGTGCTGATGGTGAGAGTAACCAATCTCCCCCTAAACTTTTAGGGTAGCAAAAAAAAAGAAGTCAAGTCCATCAAAATTGAAACGATTGTCCTTTTGATGAATCAAACCGTAACTCAGTAAATTCTTAAAACAAACCATAGGTATTGACTAGAAAATCTTGAGAGTAAAAGTCACATACCAAAATGTCCTAAGAGCAAGCCCAATGGAGGCTCTAAGAGCACTTCCAGCAATTTGCCCCTTGCCATGGCAAAGGGGAGGGCTATGGCAATTACTATTCACGTGAATAGTGGCTGCCCCTTGCAAAAAGCAATGTGTGTTTCCAGGAGTTGCCCTTAGCCATGGTAAATACTATTCATTTTTTTTTTCACAACTTTTTTTACCTAAACAATTAATTTGGATAATATTTTCGGATAAGATTTTTGAGTTCCTACGTCTCAATACTATTCATATCTCATAATCAGATAAAATTTTCAGATAAGATTTTCGGTTTCAAATTTTAAATAATTTTCAAATTTCAAATTTCAAATAAATTTAAAATTTTCGGATAAGATATCATGCTCCATGCCCCTCCTGTTTCAATAGAAGAAGCCATAATATGATAGAGAAAAATAAAACTTGAAAGTGAAAAAAAATATTGAGTAGAAAGTGAATAATAGTAGAAGGAGAAGAAAATGTATGAGGATTTGATGTTAAAAGTGAAGAGTATTTGTTGGTATTTATAGAAGAAGAAAAAAATCAGTAATTTTTTGGTTTTTTTTTTATTGCACAAAAATTGGCTGCCGTTGGATTGGAGAAACAAATCTGATCAGAGAGCCCAGAGTGCGACACGTGGAACTGTAGCGGCATTGTAGCACGCTGACGTCATGGTAAAACTCGGGCCAGCCCAGTCTACTGGGTCCCACCATCTGCCCGAGCTTTGTTTTGCTACTGGAAATAAGATTTTGGCCCAAACC